CTACACTGACCACCTCCCTACACTGGCCCCCTCTCTACACTGACCACCTCCCTACCCTGGCCTCCTCCCTACACTAACCCCCTCCCTACACTGACCCCCTTCCTACACTGACCACCTCCCTATACTGACCTCCTCAGTACACTGACCCCCTCCCTATACTGGGCACTTCCCTACACTGGTCTCCTCCTTAAGTCCATCTAATTTTCATAGACCAGACACACACCCCACATGTGTATCAGCACAGTAGGCCTGGTTCTTTATGGTGACCACCTCCCCATGTGCTCACTAGTTCGTCACAGTCCCTTGGGCGGTCACTGCCAGAGTTCTACTGTTTATCTGAATCTGAGATAGCAGAGTCAGAAGTCAGTCAGAAAACTACGCATGTCCAAGGAAAAATAAAAGTTAAACAATTTCTTATTTTATGTAGCTCAAGGAATTTAAATTTTTCACTTTCCAAATAGACATTTTATATCATATACATACATACATAAGCACATACATCACCTCACACATAAATACACACACATACACATAAATACATACATTTGTATATGAGGAGAAAGAGTGAGAGAGACATTATCAGTTTTAATGACCTAGACTATCCACCTTCAGATGACTATAATTTGTGGAAAGAAAATGTTTTGATGGATTAAAAAATAAAATCTATCATTTGGTACTAAAATTAAATAGTAATTAAAACTATTGGTGCATAAAAACTGAAAATATATTCATCTCCATTCAAAGTATATAAAACTCATGCAGGATTTTGTTTTATAAACTGCCTTGATGTCTAAAACAACCACATATCTAAAAACAAGTTTGACAGAATCAACTCTGACTCATGCTTTATATGGAAGTTTATTTAATGCTGTACTGGGGCCTGTAAGCCGTTTGAATCAGCATCTGACGTTAATAAATAGGTATTTTCCTCTCCACCTTTGTGGTTTTAATAAAGTTGAGGAGGAAAAAAAAAAAGAAGTGTCTCCTGGCCAGGAAGATTGATGACCAAGCCCTAACCACATAGGATTAGACGCAGTGGAAGTACAGATCCTACTCACACAACTTCTGCCTTTCAAAAATATATAGAAACCCAACACTCCCCCCCCCACACAAGTAGGGGCATAAGCTTTGAATGTGACCACTCAGGTTTGAAAGCTATATTGTCACTCTCTTTGACCTAAGCCCAACTGCTAGCTCATTAGCTGGGAATTTTCTCCTCACTGGGGAATCACATTGGTTCCACAATACATAAATAACTGTAACCATCACCCACATCCAAAAGAAAGCTTTCCTCAAAAGTGCTTTCAAGAGCTACAGACGTGTACCAAGGGCAAGAAACCACACCTGCAAACAACGTTAACCTCAAGGCTGTCCACACACTTGAGAATGTGAAAAGTTGTGACAGCTAGTGCATAAGTAGGACGTTCACAATGAGCGCTCAGTTCCAAAAACGGCTCATGTTGGCAGAATTCGGAGACAACATCCAATGGAAATACACTAGCAACACTGTCATATTGTGAATCCTGACCCGTGACTGGAGAAGCTGGACGCTCACTTCAGGAAGACAGTTCCTTCTGCTCTAACACACCTCTAGTTTGGCCTTTGCATCCCTCCTTAAATGGGTTGTTTTATGGGGAGAGAAGAGAATTCCCTTTTTACTTAGTCAGAAACCTAGGAAAGAAGAAGGAAGCCTTTTTAAATCGAGAATACTTTTGTCCCATTTTCCCCTGGGCTGTGCATATTCTTTCCATGTTTCCTAAAAGAAGCAATGTCAAGTATTTGGAGAGAGTGGGATAGCTTCTGGCACTCTTCCTTACACACATCATTTCAGTTACAGTCAGCTCAGAGGCTGTGAAATGTCTTCATTCATGATGAATTCATCTTAGTATGTCTGCTTTATAATGTAGTGGTCAAGTGCGAGTGACGGGCTTTGTAATCAGACATCTCTGGCTTTAAGCTTCAGTAATTGTACCTCCCAACAGTGTGATTTTACTTATGATGACAAAGCTGTTTGACCTTCAGTTTCTTCATATATAAAATGGGAAAATAATACCTATTTTTGCAGTTACAGTGATGACACGAGTGATAATGTTAAAACCCCCATGCTCAGGGCTTAGATACGTGTATTCTACAAATAGTACTTATGGCTACTACTTCAGATGATGATTTTCCCATTAAAAAAGCCTTCATTTTTTAAAATCCACTTTATTTTATAGGTCACAAATTATATAGTTATTTTCAAACAGAAGGAGAAAAAATCTGGAATTAGTGAAGAAAATCTAACTGCTAATAAGTGCTCACAGTGTCTCCTGCAGAGCACAGGGCAGGTCCAAGTGCCAGCCCCGGGAAGGGGTCTTTAAGACTGTGGAACTGGGGGGGATCACTGAAGAAAAGTAAAGTTGAAAGCAGTAAGAGATAAAGGGACAAGACACACAAAATAGAATCTCCAAAGGTGGGAACACAGGAGACCACCACTAACTCGTGGGGTTCCAGCGAATGGCCCTGAGTGTTTGTTCCACACAGCTTTTATTGAAGGCTATCTTGTCATTTAGCCCAGAGAGTAAGCTGAGGAAAGGAACAAAACCAGCAGCAGTTTCTCTGAGTAAGCATGCTAGCTCTTATTCTGTCTATAATCATCAACTTTAAGGGTCTGAGCAACCTTGAGAAATCCGAAACCTGAGCCCTCTGTAGGGGCAGCCTCCTGTTTGTGCCATGCAGATTCCTTAGGGGAGGTTAGATCCCTCTGGTTGTCTGTGGAGCAGCTGTGATGGTGTTAGGCTCCTCTGAAGAATTGGTGGAATAGAAGAATTTTCCTCTGATTTTCACTCTAAAGTGTTACCTCTGTGATTTGGGTACAAGCCCTTCTGCCCATATTTCAGGGCTCAAGCTGTTCCCTTGATCTCTGCCCTGGCCATGATACAAATCCCCACAATGGGTGTTTGCTTTGACTGTAGACTGGGCCGGGGACGACCTGGCTAATGCTCCTCCCAGGCCTTGCGCGTAGCTCCCGATATTCTTCAGAGTGTTCACAGACCCAGCAGGGGTGTTTTTAAGCTGTATCCCATTACAGGCCAGGCTTTTAGCAAAAGCAGGGACTGCTCAGATAAGGAATTTAGCTGCTGGTTTAAAAGTAAACTAGCTGAACTGTTTTTATTACACCTTGCTGGGCTTATTTCTCTGTTTTTCCCTTTTCCTGGGGGTGTTTACCCTGCCCAGAGTGAGATCTTCAGTCCCCATTCTCCCTGCAACAAGGAGAGAAGCATCCTGACTTTCAGGTAAAATTAGGATCACCCCAGCAACATGGGCCTGTTTAGTAGTTTGAAAACCTAAGAAGAATTGGGGCAAGCTGGCTTACAGATGGGACTCACCTTTACTCACCACGTATTTATTGAGAACTCACACAAATACAGAACCCAAGAAGGTGGGAAACCACCTGTGTGCCCCTGAGAGTTATCCCCAGAAACACCCATGTGGCTTGGATTTATATTCAGAATGGAGATGAACTATATCATGTAATAACAAGCAAGTGTGTAGTCTTCAATAGCTTTCACAGTAGCTGGGGTAGGCAGACCTCATCAGGTACCAGAACAGGCCTTTCAGTAATGGTTCTCACCTTTATAAAGCTTCCCACTTAGAAGACGATTTTCTCTTTGACATAATCTAAGGTGCCTATGTCTCTAACTCTACGCATTATCTCTGCCCCCAGTGCCCAAAGCTATGGGAATAGAAACAACTAGTGGGAAATATGATAATCACATCCAAATGCTCTGGAAGATTTTTCCTCCTTAGAAGGAGAATCACAGGGCAGCGCCTGTGGCTC